ACACACACACACACACATTTCAGAGGATGGATGAGAAGAAAGAAAAACGGAAGGAGTAAGGAAGAAAGTCTTCAAAAGTGCAATACTGTATATACTGTATTTTGTACATCATTTCCATAGCACTGATCTCAAGTAAGAAAAGGGGAAGCAAAGGAGGGTAGGGGGAGAAAAAAGAGAATGAGAGGGAGGGAGGGAGATTTTTCACAGCCATGGTTAACAGAAGCTATTGCATTACACTATTACTAATTCTTAACTGGCCAGAAGATGAAAAATAACAAACAACAAGGCTAAAAAGACCCCATGATGTTTCGGGTGTTTTTTTTTAAATATATAGTTCATTGTACGTATCAAAGGACAACCAGGAGAAGAAGACGCTCACAGCTATATTGTTTTACAGCAATAAAAGGCGAGATCCCCCTCCCCAAGCAGTATTTATCCTCCCCCCCCGTCGGAACCACCGCTCACGTTAACTGGAATTAATGGAAGGACGGGGGGGGGGGCGGCTTTCTGAGGCTTGCCTGTCCAGTCTTCCAGCGCCTACTTTTTGTCCCCAGTCTGTGCTTCTCCGCCCTCTTCCACCTCCTGCGCCCTTTCCATTTTCTGTTTCTCCAATTCTTCTTGCTCACATTTGCTGCTGGGGAACTTATCTTTGTTGTTCTCCTTTTTCCACTTCATCCTCCTGTTCTGAAACCAGATTTTCACTTGCCTTTCGGTCAGTCCCAGGGCGTGCGAGACTTCGATTCTCCGCTTGCGGGTCAGGTAAGGATTAAAAAGGAACTCCTTCTCCAGCTCCAAGGTCTGGTAGCGGCTGTAGGTCTGCCGGCCTCTCCTCCGTCCAGCGGCTGCTGGGGTGGGGGGGAGAGAGAAAAGGAGATTGAGAAGACACAGCCACCAGGTTAGGGGACAGAGGGAGAGAGCGAAAGACGCGCGCGCGCACACACACACACACACACACAAAGGCAGCGACGGAACTGCCCTTCTCGTACGGTACAAAGAGGAGGTTAATTACACAGCAGTGGATGGAGAGAGGCACAGGCGAAGAGATCCACAGATGCGCTCTGTCCGCCCGAGCTCCAACATCACCCGGGTTCCTGGATAGCTCACTCCGCTCTCTCCTTTCCTCCCATCCCTGTCATTTTCTTGGGAAAATTATTCCCTCCCCAGCATCCTGGGTTTCTGGCAAGAACGCCCTCCCCGGCCCTTAAAACAACGCCGCCGCCGCCTGCCCCCCTCGCATCTCCAGAGATTTAAAAGATAATAACCAAAGCGGCGAGAGGAGGGAGGGAGGAGGCGGAGGAGGCCAAGGAGAGACACAAAAAGGGGGTCTCGGAGGTTGTAAAAGTACCATAAACTTTAAGGGAAGCTTCTCCGATTGAAAGAAGGGGGGGGGAGAAGTCCAGTTCTCCCCATTCAGGAGAAAAGGTTCCTTTCAGGGTAATTAAGCGATAAAGCAATTCAGAGGTGCAAAAGTTGACGCTCATAAAACAGTACAAAGTAACCGAGGGCTGAGGTGGGGGGGAAAGGAGGGAGGGGATGAAAGATAGTGGAAGAGGTGGGAAAAAAGGAGGGCGAAGTTGCTTTATGGGTTCAGGAAATGCCTCCCCGGTGGCTGGACGTCTGGCCCTTCCTAAGATGCCTCCTCACCTTGCGGTCTCATCCAGGGGAAGAGTTGCGTAGGAGACGGGCTCTGCTCCGAATTGTCCGCGTCCTCTCCCAGGCCAGTGGAGGCTAACTTGCAATCCGGATACTGCACCAGGTCGGATTCCTGAGCGCTGAAGAGGCTTTGTCTTTGCAACGGGTCATAGCCGTAGAAGTTGCTGGGATCCCCGTGGCACGCCACGGCGCAGGGGTTCTGTTGGTAAGGGGAGCTGGAGAGAGAGGACGCCCCGTGGTAGAACTCCTGGATCTGGGTGGGGTGCTGGAAGGTGCCCCCCGTGCTCGGCCCGTACACCACCGTCGGTCTCCCTCCGAGCTCCTGGGCGAACCCACAATCGTAGAAGTTGGGGCGCAGGGAGTCCCCGGTTTTGTACTTGGAGAAGAGGGAGTTGACAAAATAGGAGCTCATTGTCATATAAATAGCTTATCTTAAATAGGTCTAGGTACCAGGGTTAGGGGCGATCAAAAGCCACAGGATGTTAGAAGATAGCGAAGAGGCGCCAACCCACGAGTCTTTGTGATTTCCAGGAATATATACAGATATACATAGATTTTTTAAAAAAAAAAATCCCGAGGATGTAGTCAAAACTCTTTTCCAGTGAACATGGTATCGGATTCCTCTTTTTAAAATTGCTGCTGCTGTTGTTGTTTGTGACTGTTGTTATTATTATTCCTCTCTGTATGTGTGTCTCTCTCTTTCTCTCTCTTCTCCTTTTTCTTCTTTTTTTTTCCTCCTTCTTCTTTAACCCCCCCCCTAAAAATATATATGTATATATCGGCACTTAAAAAAAGTTCTCGCTTTACATTTCCAAGGAGAGGTGCCAGTTCATAAACAGTTTTCCGTGATTTACTTCGGAGCAAATGAGTTTGTTCATATTTCGCAGTGTCTTTTCTGGATCATTTGCATCTATTACGGAACGCTCATCCTATTGGTTTCCACGTACTCCACACGGACTCTGAACAGCCTGCGAGCAGGAAGGAGAGTGAGTGGGAGACAGAGAAGGAAAGAGAGAGAGAGAGAGAGAGCGAGAGCGAGAGAGGGAGAGAGAGAGAGAGAGAGAGAGAGAGCGCGAGAGAGCGCGAGGGAGAGTGGGAGGGGGTGGGTGGGGTAAATATAGAGATTAAATATGCTAAACTATCTACGTTAATGAGATATCTCTCGCCTCGCGACAAATCATCTACCTAAGCCCACCCAAAAGATTTATATTTGGGGAGGGTTGAAAAATTAAAGAGAGGCTTTGCTCTCATCGTTAATTTTCATTTTTTTTATTATTATTTTTTTTAATTTTATTTTAACGAGGCAGTTTTAGCCCTTTGGAAAATGTCAGGGTTGCTTTGGAAAACTGTAAAAAGAGGCCGGATTTAATTGCTACCCGTTTTTTTTTTCTAAAAGCCTCCTATAAATGTAATTGGTATTTTAATACCGAGTTATCAAATCCTACGGCGTCCTGTAGCCTCAACATATTTTAAAACAAACGAGGTAGTCAGATTTAACATTTTAATGATCAATTTCCTTATTATTGATAAAGGTTTAAGTATCAGCGCCAAAAGAAAGAAATGGTCCATTTGTAATGGCCCCCTCCCCAAAAAGAAAGGGCCGTAAACTGTTTAACAAACTATACAGCGCAAAAAAATAAAGCAAAGTAAAAAGACGCAGAGGCACACACGCAGACATTCGCACAGACAGAGAGTCAAACAAATAAATATTTAAAAAAGCAAAGCAAAGCAAAGCGAAGCAAAACAAAACAAAACAAAACAAAACAAAACCACACACTCGGAGATGTTCTCGCTGGTTATATCGCACTACATAAAAAGCTGTTAAAGGGTTTTTATGAGTTCTTTCCTCTACAGCTATAAAAACCCAGGTTTCGATTGGCGCCTAAACGCCATTATCGCAAGATGTTGGGGTGTCAATACTGAATTAAAATGATTATAGTTTTTCATATATAACATTGACTTTTCAGCTCCCTGGTATCACCCCTCCTACCCCACTCTCCTGTTATGCCTCCCCCCTCCTCCCCCTCTTCTATTTCAGCGGAGAGGAAGCCGCCTCGCGCCTCCCCTTAACTCCCAACCACCACAGTTGTGGGTCTTCTTAGCTGAGCGTTCACACGCACCCATCCCCAGAAGTAGCACCAT